CATGTGGCATGTTCTGATACGTTTTGTTCTCTTTCATCCTACGTGATGGTGAGTAAAGATGTCTTGATAGATTTCCTTTCAAACTAGTTTATTCTTCTGTTTATAAATTAACCTGATATCTGGTGAAGAGCCTTTGCCCACTAGGTGTTTGTTTTGGGTGGATGACTGTTTCTGCTACATTTATTTTCTCTAGGCAAAGTACTGTATTATTACATGTACTTTTCTGTGACTTACACTGAAAGGCCTGTTGAAGTCTGCTTTGACATTCTGAACATTATGTATTTAGGCCAGTGTGTTTCTGTACCCTGTAACATAGGGCAGTTTAGTTGTATCTGGTCTGACTCCCAAAAATCATGTAATATTCTCCCACATCACAAACAGTTGCTACTATCAAATTCTGTCAGTGGTTTACTCACATAATCTGGAAGTAATCGTATATCAACCAGTGCTGGCTTCATGTGCATTTCGCTGGCTTTTATTTTTATTTTTCATGACTACTTGTTCATGGCTTATTTTTTACATACAAGTTACAATACTGCTTTCTTTTTCCACAATATCAGTTTTCTTAATCTACCCAACATGTAATCTCTTGGTAGGTTAGGGCTGACTTTCCATCTGTCCTGACCTTAGCTACATTCAGAGCCCCAGTTCAGTTCCTAGTCTTCTTATCTACTGCTACTCTGACACACTTACATTTAAATTAGTGCATGTATCGATATCCTAACCCACCACTGGGAAGGCTGTGACTCTATGACTGATTGGAGGTGATGACTTGAGTCCTCCTCAACATACTATGTGCCATATAGCACAGCCTGATATATTTTATAAATACAATACAGAAGCAGTATTCTTAGGTACAATGACTGTAAAATTATTTCTTCATGACTTCAGTGTGCAGTGACGGATAAGCTGGGCTTTCTATGCTGGTGTGGGTACATGTGCAAGTACAAATACTGGACATTATCCATCATCGTATTTATATTTCAAAATACAGTTCTTAGGAGAGTGGATTCTGTCTCCATCTTCAGGTAAAACCTACTCGATTGAGCCCAATTGATATAGGTAGTCCCTACCATCTTTGTTATCTACGTTGAAGTTGTGAACAACAGTCTTACTTCATGGATTGTAGTATAAATTATGAAATTTATATTTGTTTCATAAGCCAATGAAAATGATTAGTGCATAAAACTACTGATATTAATTAATTGATCTTAACAACAGAGTGTACAGAAAACACTGAAAAATGATGTTCTACTTGGGGAACTGAGTTATCCACAAGAGTGGAAGTGCAACACTGATTGGTAAAGGTCAGACAGGTACTACAACATGTGGCACATGGAAAGGCTTTCTTTGTTGGTTAAGTTAGTGGAAACCTTCGGATCAACTGAACAGAATTCAAACATTAGTCATAAATATAAACCATGCAGTGTACTATAAAACTTAAATACACACAATCCAGTTAAATTAAATGAAACTGAAGAATCAAATAAACGTTAGTGCTGTTAAATATTGAATGTATGTGCTCATTACAGCTGTCATTTTGTTAAAATTCATTATAAATCCGAATCAATTAGTAATATTACATATATATGCACTAGTAAACAATTACTTAGTTTGTTAACTACTCTGTACAAAATACTTGTGCACAATGTCAGAAATACAACATGCACATTAGTGTTATGACACAATGGAACCTGCCAAACGCATCTTCAAATATTCAAAATAAGAAATGTCTAAACACAATTTTTTTATTAAGATGTTAGCAATGTAGATTAACCATTCCATTACACAATCAACACAATCACAGACACAGAATTAAGGTGCAACACAACCATTAGTAAAAACAGTACCATAAATTGCCAGTAAACTAAGCCTTCTTTTGCTGTAATGCTAAACTGTGGTTCACAGACCCCTTAGCAACACAATTCTTTAGGAGATTCAGAAGGTAAAAATGTTTAGCATTTTACTGAAGATATATGCTTAAAAATTTTGAATGGAAAGGAAGATAAGTTTCAAGAGCAAATTTCAGATTCCCACCAGAAGGAAAATGAATGTTGAGTAATACAGGCATACGAAAGTCTCAAATTTCTGTGATCGAATCAAGAACAAATCTTGATCCTGAACTATCCAATTTTCAGCCTTAAACTTCGATAATTTTCAAACAGCTGCGTTTGCTTTGGGCACTACATGTAAATTATCTAAACCATCAGAATCGTAGTGGTTGGCAACACCAATACAAATCGATCCGCTGACAAATCTGTCTCACTCTCTCTTTTCTGTCAATACTGTACTTTACCTTTTTCTGTACGCAGTGTTTGATGTCAAAATGGATAAGTACCATATCTACCCAATGGAAGACAAGTTTATTTACCTTTTAAAAAGTTACAAAACTAAAGGATGGTGTGAATTCAAGTGATAAATATAACATGTATCAGTGGTTTTATGTTTCATGCCTTTAGCTAACTGGTGCCAAAATTCACACTGTACCAGACAATGAGGGCAGCACATGAGAAAGCAAAATACAAGAATATATTTCAGGGTCCAAAGTCAACAGCTGCCATGACTTTGCTCATACTAGCATAAAAATTGTAAACAGAAGTCATACAAAATCATGAGAATGAAAATGTTTGTGGTATAGGACAAGATAAAGCCATATAGAAAATATAAGAGGCTTAAACTTGGCAGTGGCCAAGTTTACAACTGTCCAAGTGACTAAGTTGCCATCATAGTATAAGATAAGTAAGTGAAGCATGATCCACTTTGCAAAGCCTGTACTGACAGACAACTTGTATATAGCGCAAAAGAGAGAATTTTCAATAACACGCTACAAGTGCAATAATTACACTTGCCAAAAGGCCAAGCATATTCATAAGAGATGAACCCATCTTCTAGTCATACAGGATGTTACATAAGGACTATTACTGCAAAGGTTCAGGTGAAAACAAATCTCTGGTCATAAAGTAACTCTGATTTTGAAGTTAGCTACTCAGGGAGAGACCAGGGGCAGAGACTAGAGTTTGAGGAGAGGCAGTCAGTACAGGAGAGTCAGAGTGAGTGTGAACTGAGTCCGTAGAGTGTCAGACAGTGAGTCAGCTACACCAGGTCTTCATTGGATTTAGTTATTTGAACAAAACATGTATTGGGCAGAGTGGTTTTTATGAACTTCACTTTACATCATGTGTACACAACCAACTCCAGTCTGGCAAAGGGAAGTTGGTGAAGTTTGCCTCCCAGCTGCGGGTGTGCACAGTGGTGCACAAAACAACAAAATAAGCGGTGAACTTGAGTGTACAACAAGATGGCAGACATCCCACTATAGGGATTCCAGAAATTCTGAAGACAGAATCCAGCATCACTGAAATCTCAATGTCATGCAACAAACACCTAGAAGCAGCTTCCATTGTACCAAGATCCTTGCTGGATGCACACTGGCAAAAGTGGGGGGAAAGCTCTGAATGGACCTCTACTGTAAACAGTGTGGAAAAGAACAGAGAAAATTTCTGTAAAGCTCTAGATGGGAAGATGCGTTTCAGTGCTCCCCATGGCAGGTGTATGGTAACTCTGAATGAACTGAAGGCTGTACTGTAGGTAAGTGCACAGGCAGGACAAGGTGGTGTAGCAAACAAAACCTCAGTGGAATCAATGGCCCAGGAAGAAAAGAGACGCAAGAGGCAGATCTCTAATGATACACTGCAGACAGCCAAAAACCAGTCCCAAGAACCACAGCTGTCAAGCTGCATCCAAAAGCAGTATTAACCCACAACTTCTTTGCACCGCTTAGAACTAGTGACACTGACATGGAGGGTACTGGCTTGCAGGCCAGTAGCCATCCAACAAGGACACGAGCACAAAAGCAGGGGAATATCCACTGTTGAACACCGTTACCAGGAAACAACTAGTGATGACACAGAAGCCTTAATATTTAGAGCAGTGATTGGTAGTGTGTGCAGATCTGTGGAATGTTTATAGTTATGAGACTGCAAAAAATACTGGGAGTCCTTAACAGGACTTAAACATGCAGAGGTTTCCTACAAGGACCCTCTGCCAGAAGAACTAAGGCACTACTGAAAGTAAATAGGAACCAGCTAAGATGGGTGTCATGACTGTTTACAGGACACTGTCACCTGAAAGGACACCATTATTAGTGGGATTAACCAACAATCCCACTTGTGTAAGGTGCCTGAAAAAATATGCAACAGCCTTACACATCCTACATGATTGTGAGGTTATGGCTTACTTATAATTGTAATGTACTGCACCACATTATGAGTGTACAAATATTGGGGGGAGGCACAATATATCAATGATGGTCTTCATGCATGGCTTGGTGTTGCCCACCCATATTTATTTATTTATTTCTGACAATATGGAGCATAAGAAAGAAGCTGGGAATATTGGCAGTGAACATCAAATAAGCCCAGTGAATCTGAGAGAGAAGATAGGAACTGCGAAGATATTAAACTTGATCGAGACAAACGATATGAATGGTGGTGAATACTGTGAGATTAATGAAACTGGATAAGAAGTAATCTCAAGGAAACCAGCTCAACAAATGCCATGCATAACACGTTTTCGCATGTTTATTTACTATCTTTCAAATGTTCAATATAACTACAAAATTAATTTACAAAATTATTTTTCTGTGCGAACACGTCTCATAGCACAGGGTCGTCTTCCAGTTTGGCAAATATGGTAGTACACTTTCATGCACTGTAAAATCTGGTTAGGTCTACTAGAGAAAATTCTTGTTCTCAATAATCTTCCAAATTCTCAACTCAAGCAATGCATATGCCTACTACAAAGGTTAGGCTGCATGATGCCTGATCAAATGAGGATGAGGACGTAGAAGAAGGGACACATTAAGAGAAAAAATTAATATAATTTTCTATGGATGTTTCCATATTTTGATTTTCCAAGGAACAAACTTGTGCAGGAAGAGTGACAGAACCACTGATGTAGTACTGTTCCCACTAATACTCTAACCAAACTTCACATTTTAAGCAGGTTTCACTGCTCTAAGTTACAACGTAGTAACAGAGATACTTACGGTCTACTCGTAGATTTATGTAGTCAGATGCATACCCAGAATCGCTTCGGGCCTCACAAATATAACGTCCTTGGTCTGATAACTGGACATTGGTCAGCTGAAGTACGTCTCCACGGACAACAGCATTTGCAGGGAGAGGCAACCTGTCACGTGTCCAAGTGATGTATGGAGGTCGTCCAGGTCCAGGAGGCACAACACATCGAAGCTGCACTGAATTTCCTTCATATGTTGACTGATCATGTTGAACAGCAGTCACCATAGGGGCCCGAGTGTTTTCTGCACAATAAACACAGCCAAATATTGTGGTTTATTCTGGTTTACTGGCCTCTGAAAATTCTCATTTTCTTACTTAGCTGATTAAAATGTTTCATATGAAGACATACCACATTTACCTGGATAATTTATGCAATTAATTTAAATGCATTATGGAATCAGAGTATGGGAAATTCAAAAACTGTATTTTATGACAATTATGCACTGTTCTAAATCTTATCAAGGGCAATTTTCACTTCACTCTTAATTGACAAATTGCAGGGTGGATCCCACATGTGAGAATATCCATCCTGTGTTACCACATCATATTCAATTTTAATAGTTCGTTTGTGAAAATTAGGCATTTGTCAAAATTTCGTAATAGGGAATTTTCATCTGAATATCTGTCAAGGAAGCGTAAGGTGGAAGACTGTATGGGTACATATCCACAGCATGTTGCCACATAATATGCAAACATAACTGATTCAACCTAACATGTAACATTACGGTCTGTAAAATAATATTAACATATTTTACATACTGAACTTTTACACATGATTTCTTGAGTAAAAAGTACATACATTACGTGAGTATATGTGATATATTCCTCTTGTGCACTATGCTGCTGTTTGTCAACATACTCTGCACTTCGCTGAAGTTAAAATCAGAGTGGATAAAAAACAGCAATAATACATTTTAAGTAGACACATATTTTCAGGTCTCACATGTAATTAAAAACATTTAAGCTTCTTATAGTTTCAATAAGAAGTGATGCCCACTCACCACTAACAACCACCTCTGCTACAGCTTCCGCTTCACCGGCAGAATTCCTAGCCTGACACAGATACCGACCAGCATCTGACACTGCAATGCCATGAAACTGCAACACAAGTCACCAGCATTTACTATTCTGCACTCTCTACCTGATTCGTATGAATCAAATAAAAAGTGATGTGAAGACAGAATTATTTTTATCACAGACTTTTCAACACTGAACAAAAACAGAAACTTTTCCACATTTAACATCCACCCATTCATTTACATTCCATGGATCCTTACATTCCTAGAAAACCAGTGGATACAGATATAGTCAATGGCAAAAAGAAAAGTCATGTCAATTACATAATTAAAAATTAGAAACACAACATGATTAGGCCATAGATGGCCATCTTCTGGTGTTTTAATGCGTCCAACTGTTACACTGTTCTGAGGTGCACTAAAATCATGCGTTGCACTCCACTTAAAAATAACACCTGAAGATGGCCATCTATGGCCGAAACATGTTGTGTTAAAATGTTAAATTGTAAATAAATAATTGTTGCATTACTGACGGACTGTGGATACATAGATGTTAGGAACAAATGGCTCAAGGTGCTG